ATAAATATGAGCATATAGATTTTAAGAAAAAGCCTTATAACAAAAAGACTGGAGGGCTTTTGAAATGGTTGTCTGTAAAAGCTGTTTGTAATCAATTGAGGAGATCTTGATAACAAGGTTGATTTAAGGCAAATTTTTTATGCGTTGATGAGAGGTGATGGGCTTAAGGAAGAACGTTCTTCAAATATGACCACACACTACTTGGGCCGGTAAAGCAAATGAATCAAATCTTCCCCATCAATGGTAACTCCCTGTTACTGTAATGGTCAATGGCGATCTTCAACATTTTGAAGGAACCAAAACCTAAGGACAACAAAAACTCCTGTATAATAGCTGTAACTCTGGCAGTAACCCATTGAATTTCGGGATTAGGGATAGGTGCAGAAATTAATTAGTGTAGGCATGTACTAAGTATGAAGGTATTGCAGCTTAATTATGTTAGTGGCTTGTAAATAAAAGTTAAGGTACATAAACTAATCTAGTTACCTCATCTGCAATAATGGTCAACTTTTCCATCACATTACAGTCTTTGCTGCAAAAGAACAGATTGGATCTACTTAAAATCTAAGGATATGTAACACTTGGTATATTCATATTAGGTTGAGCATGATCGTCTGGGTGAACGTAGTCGTGAAAAGGACTGTTGTTGTTGACAATGACTGAGGCTTCGACAACTTGTGCAGTAGTCATCTTTAGGGTCAAAGATAACTTCCGCACAGGTTGTCAAAATGTCAGTCACTGTCAACAAAAACAGTAAAGCTTGAGCTGACCTTTTGTTGTAGCGAGCCATATCCCAAGCTTTGTACTGTATTGCGTGCTGTGATGGTAAGAACTGGTTGAGATAAGTTACTGCACTTTCAAGTTCATCACTTAGAATCTGTTCGTGTCTTTTTCTCTCCTTTTTCTACAATATGAAAAAAGTAAAAAATTCAATGCAGTATTGTAACAATTGGCACTTTATGGACTGTTTCTCAGTATTTGGAAACAATTGTAGACAGCTTTTGTTTTGTGGTTTGGGAATTGTTCCGTTCCATGCTAATCTTTTTCCCTTGTGTGGTCATTGAACCATACGAAAATCCACGAAACTGTCTGGAATTAATCTTCAGGTTTACCTGGTGCAACCCAGTAAGTGCTTTCAGATGTGCAATGATGATAGCACAGTTACTTAAGTAAGGTAACCTTTTGAACACACCGTGTCAGGTGCATAAAGCTTGTGGGCACATTACAAAGTCCTAAAGGCATCACGTATTATCAATGGAATTCCTCCCCATCCTCTAAGACTGACTATTCCGACTGAAACAGTCTGTTGAATTTTAATGCAGTGAGGTTGGGCAAGTGTATCGTTTGGCCTCAAACTTTCCAGTGTCTGATTTCTTAAGAACTGATTGTTCAGTCCTTTTTCTCTTAAGAGGAGAATGGTGAAGGCACATGGGATGTTAAAAAGCTCAAGATTATATTATCTGTTGTATGTACAGATCCCTGATGGCTTTGAACACCTGTCCTCTTTGCAAAGGGTTATCTCCTTGGAGGCTCTCTCAAAAGGGGAGCATCACTTGTATTTAGTATGGTGCCCATACAACCAGTATCATGAGGTCCCTAGGAGGACACATTCCACAATTGTAATGATAGCCTTCTAGGCAAGCGTTTCTGAGTGAGTTACCATGTGAAAGTTGGGGCAATAGCAAAAAAGTGAGGAGGTGGGGGGGGGGGGAAGACAAAACGCTCCTTGATATTTCATGGTTTGGTTTGTTTGTAGATTGACATCTTGTCAGATGCAGCCAGGGAGAAGGGATTTTGATAAAACACATTCTCCACAGGTTCACAGCTTGCCCACCAGGTACCTTTGCTCACTGCATGGTATTCGTCTTAGGTGTTTTATGGTTGGTTAACAGCCAGGGAAGAAACTTCTTCCTAAGGAAGTATCACACTTATTCTTTTCATTATCCATCTTTGTACATTGTCCCCAGATAGCACCAATCTAACACAAGCCACATTATTTTAGTGTTATTTCTGCCTTTGCAGGGACAGTGGACATACTGAACAGACATTGTCAATGCCTCTTTTAATACCAGTATATTGGAATTTCTTGAGTGGAGAGGTTTAAGAAAGTGTATGGGAGGTATGAGCAATTTCTGCAACAATACATGGTAGTAATGATATTATAAATAATGCATTATTCAATGGCATACTAAAACCACAGCATATTTGTGAAACATGTCCTTTTTAGACCCACCTTGACAAGATTAAGAATAACCACAGGTGCACCAAATCTTCTCAAGAGTTGGTTGAAATGCTGACCAGCAGCTGAGCAGAAAGGATCGGCACGGTCAACTGAACAAAACATGAATAATTTGTGATTNCTTGTCAGATGCAGCCAGGGAGAAGGGATTTTGATAAAACACATTCTCCACAGGTTCACAGCTTGCCCACCAGGTACCTTTGCTCACTGCATGGTATTCGTCTTAGGTGTTTTATGGTTGGTTAACAGCCAGGGAAGAAACTTCTTCCTAAGGAAGTATCACACTTATTCTTTTCATTATCCATCTTTGTACATTGTCCCCAGATAGCACCAATCTAACACAAGCCACATTATTTTAGTGTTATTTCTGCCTTTGCAGGGACAGTGGACATACTGAACAGACATTGTCAATGCCTCTTTTAATACCAGTATATTGGAATTTCTTGAGTGGAGAGGTTTAAGAAAGTGTATGGGAGGTATGAGCAATTTCTGCAACAATACATGGTAGTAATGATATTATAAATAATGCATTATTCAATGGCATACTAAAACCACAGCATATTTGTGAAACATGTCCTTTTTAGACCCACCTTGACAAGATTAAGAATAACCACAGGTGCACCAAATCTTCTCAAGAGTTGGTTGAAATGCTGACCAGCAGCTGAGCAGAAAGGATCGGCACGGTCAACTGAACAAAACATGAATAATTTGTGATTGTGAATAAGGTGATCTGAATTGGAGACAATCAGCAATTTTATACAATATCTACAACTGTACCTTAGATTTATAGCTTATACAAAACAGCAAACACTTGAAAAGAGGTAAGACAAAACCTGCTTCAGTTTATTACTGCGGAAAGAAAACATACTTACAGAAATCATAAAATAATACTGACTACTCATTTCAAAAGGCTTCAAAATTGCACTAGCAGTTCAACTTACCAATGATTTGAGGTTTAGGGACCATGACCTGTTTAACCTCCTAAAAATCAAGAAGAGTTCAGGAATGATCAGATTTCAAATGATACCATGAATGCAAAATAATGCCAAACTGAAGACAGTTTGGTTTGTCATTGAAACCTTAGATATAAGCCAACGTCTGTTTCACCTTTGAAGTCTTAACCCTACCATTAGGAGACACGGATTTGTCTTTTGCATCTTTACACAAGGCTGCGTGAGCTCTTTTAAGAGGGTGTGCTACTTCAACAGGACTTGGACACATGCACATTTGAATGAACATTAAAAAAGTCAAAATAGGGTACATATGTGGCTCATTCCTATGGTTATCCACCAGCACTGCTTGAAGCAGCTTTGTTTTATTTGTTTGGATTGTGAGAACAATAAAGATGGGAGAGGACCTAGAGTGTTTACAGTTCAAGATATTTATAACATGGACTCGGCAACATTTCCTTGGCTTGAATTTGCTGATAACACAGTGATACCAAAAAAGTAAATTGGCAAAGGCATCCCTTTTGCAGACAGTGCATCAGTTGCTTAAAGGTTGTAGGCACATTACACAACCCTAAAGGAATTACATACCATCACTGCCATTTCTCCCCATCCTCTAGAATGATCTTTATCTGACAATGCTGGCATTTTAATCAAGTGTTGAAAGCTGTTTTATCTCAAACTGTCTATCTAATTTCATCAAAGTCACGCTAGACATGTAAATTGTTTTATTTACCTGTGACCAGAAAGAAGGGACAGATCCTCTCAGCTGCACATAGGAGGTGAACCTGCCACTCTTGAAAGACAGAACTGAAGCATCATTGACAATTTGCTCTGTTTCCACTTCATTGGCTACATTTCCCTACAACAACATCAAGCCATCTATGGAAATGAACTTTTCAAAAAGGTTTGCTGGAAGTTTCATTTGGAATGAACACAAAATACATCTCAAGTTGGCAGCTCAAGACAATATTCTAAATAACAGAGCATCAAAAATCATTAATTCTTTATTGTTAATGTTGGGAACAGCAAATCATGAAGATGCACAAAAAAACCTTGTGGTTCTTGTCAGTTTTTGCTTTACCCTCCCCTCCCTACCCCCCACTTTGGGAGGTTTGATAGCTAAACTAACCTCATCATTGGCTCCTCTCTTAAGAAATCTGGTTCCAGCAAATTCCTTGGACCTTCGTGCAATAAGTGTCACATATATGGGTCGTCCATAAACACAAATATCTAGAGAAAATGTCAAGGCAATGAACCTGATTTAAATATTATCTAGTCTGTACAGCAAATTATTGGTAAGAAGGAAAATTATCATTATGCCAGACCTCAAGTGAATGATCTACAAAAAGGAATAAAATCCTTTTTTCACTTGTGAAGGTTTTAGGTGAAGGTGCCTATGAAGATTTCTAGTAACAGTTCAACTTTCAACTTTGTTTGAACTAATTTAAGCAAGAAATAAGCATATATTTTCGTAGGAAAACAATAGCAGCTTAAAGTTATAATTAGAATTGCTATAGTTCTGCTGCATTGTCATTTGAAAGTTTCATTTCAGTCCAATTCAGTCTTAAACCAGCCCTCTTAAAGGCATAAACTAATTTAAAATGTAAATTTCCTTTCAAAAAGGAGGAGTTATGATGTGACTGTTTAAAGTACAAAATTAGAACCAACACTTTCCCTTCACTTTATGGGTTGTCTTAGCAGGCTGTTAGTATGACATTAACCAAAAGTGTTAATGAGCAACATGATTGACAATAAGGGCTGAAATAAACATCTGGTAGAGGCCATTCACTCTAAATTAATTTACAAGAAAAATAAGGATTCAAGAACATTATTGCAAAAAGGATACTGGATTGTCCCACAAAGCCATTAACAATGTGCAGAACCCAGTCAGAATGAACAGCTCCCTCAAAGCCTTTCAGGAGATATTTGTTCCACACAAACTTACTACAGGACTTGCGTTTGTTCAAAAATGGCATCTCCTTCTGTCGTCTTATTTTTTGGCACCCTGGACAAGCTGATGCTTGACCATCAAGTGTACCCACAGAACTGTCCTTAACTGAAAGATCACCATTACTTTCATGAACTATTTGGTCCCTTGAAGGTGCAGTTTCTACAGCTGACAAGGTAGAAACAGTGTCCGTGGATGGATCAGCATTTCCGTTCACTCTTACTCCTACAGTATTCAAGTCACCATCACGGGATAAATCAGCATTTGCTGCTGCCGTCTCACTGTCTACCTTTCCAGTTTCTTTCTTCGCAGTGTCTTCAACATATACATTCCTCTCATCACTGCTAACAACATTGCTTGCATCATTATGATCATTAGAGAGTACCTGATTGTCACATGCAGTTTTATCAAGGGTGCTTTCTTGTTTCAACTGCTCATGACTTTCTACAGCAGATGTAGTACTATCAGTCACATCAGACGTATTGACTGTTTTGTCGTTGACATGAATACATGATTTCCAGGCTTGCCAAGATTCTGTAGGAGCTAAATCAGGCTTAGGGTTCAGGATAGGACCCATCTGGTGTTGAAGGTTGTGAGTGAGATCATAACTGTAGCTATCAGGTCAAAAGGAAAAGGAGAAGACTTTGCATAATTAACATCTACTTATTATTTGTATTTCCATTACAACAGTTGTTCAAAAGTCAGTTACATGTCATTCCAAGTACAAGAAATAGGAATACTTCCCCAAAGCTACATGTAATTACATAAAAGACTTATGGAAGGGAATGGGCAAAAGCTTAATTCAAACTTAAACTACATCTATAAAATTAGAAGAAAATGAAGAAACACTTTTTCTTAATCTGTGATCAGTACACTGAACTGTTAACCAGGTTTACATGTACCTGAAATAAAAGTTACTTGAAAGATCCACATTTTGAAAGATCTTCACATACCTAGAAATTGGGAAAAAAANCATAAAAGACTTATGGAAGGGAATGGGCAAAAGCTTAATTCAAACTTAAACTACATCTATAAAATTAGAAGAAAATGAAGAAACACTTTTTCTTAATCTGTGATCAGTACACTGAACTGTTAACCAGGTTTACATGTACCTGAAATAAAAGTTACTTGAAAGATCCACATTTTGAAAGATCTTCACATACCTAGAAATTGGAAAAAAAAAGTGAAGATCAAGGCTGATTTTCTGTTATCAACAGATATAAAGGCCGGACTTTCTCAACAGTATGATGAATTTATCTCAAAGGATGCTGCCCCTAAATAAGTGCCCCATCCTCTATCAAAAATGCTGAAAAATTGATTTTTGGACGTAGTTAACGCAAATCTAATATTACTGCTATAATTGCTGTTAGAGCTTAAAATACACTGTACATATGTTCAATTTTTTGTTACTGTCATTGTTCTGAAATGCTTTGCTCATCAGAAATAAAAGTTTCCTTTGGCTCCACAATTAAACATGCACCACACTTAAAAGTCCAAAAATTTATCAAGTAATAAGTGAGTATTACTTCGAACACTTGAAATGGCAATAACCAGTACTGTCTCTTATATGTATCATGTTGAAAATTCTCCAATGTTTTCAAAACTAAAACAATGAACATGCATTTTATTGTTGTTTAGAAAAGGAGCAGCGTAACTAACTTGGCCTCATCAGGATGCTGAAACTTTTGTTTGACAAGCTCGTTTGCTATTGGGATCAGCTTTGTATCCTCAATCTTGTAGATACTGTGTCCACCTATCTGAGCTTGTCTGAAAAAGGAGAGTAACACAAACAAAATTTTTTTTATATCAGCATTATTGACTGACTAACTTTATCATTTTCAAAACAGCTTTGAGAAAAAAAAAACAACAACAAAATCTGCAATAGCTCCACTAAAATAATGCACTATGAAGTCTCCAAGAAGAAGTTGACTATACATTGCATACAGAAGATGATGTCCATTTACTGAGAGGGACTTTCAATAGAATCATGTACCTGGATTTTGGAAACCTAAATCACGATAAAATATTTTTGAATATCAATCACTGTGATCATGGTGCTAATGATAGTCTTAGTCATTGCCTGATGAAGACCAGCAGTGAGCTCAACAAAGTGGCTAGCAGGAATTAGAATTTAGTGATGTGAGCTCTATTTTGACAGTATCACTTGAACCTACTTTCTCCGTTCTGTGATCAGTATGATGTAGTACCCCTCTAGAAATCGCACAAAGCCTAAAAACAAATGAATTACAGACAGGTTAATATTTCCTCCATTACCAGTGAAAGGCCTGGAAGAGTGGCCCTCAATCTGTTCATGACTGTTACTGCTACATAAAAAATGTGTATACATGTACAAATAGCAACCCATGGAGATTGTCCTTGAAAGCTGTAGATTAATGGCACACTTTAGGTGTTGCCTTCAATTTTTTGTAACATTGGGAAGCCTGTATTGCAGACATTTTAATTGAATGTGTCAATGGTTCTGTTCGAGTAACAATAACCACGATTAAGGTGCTTAACCCAAGGGTTGTTACGTCTACTCTCCGCCAATCTTCTTCAGCGAATAAAATCAAAAGTGGCATCCATGAAAATACAAAAAAACAAAACAACAAGCAGCTTTCCCCGAATCTAAAAAATAAGTCTGCAGGCTAGGAACCAAACTGTAATCTATGATGGTATCTGTAGCTTATTTTGTTTTGTTACATCCCTTAAGTGCTTCTTTCAAATGACAATCAAAGCAGCCTACAGAAAGAAATGGGTAGTTTAACTTGGTTATCGGGGCATAAGGAGCAGTACTGTTCAAAAGTAAGTGGACAGTTTCAACTCAATCCTTAAAACTGCAATTCTTATGTCTAAAAAACTCAAACAAATTGAGCTTCAAGACACAAGGATTGATCTTGGCTCTTGAGTTTTGAATTTTTATTTTTTAAGAAACCAGGATGTTTAAATGTTCATCACTCAAAGGGATTCAAGGAAACAATACCACTAATTGTCATTTCTTGAGAAAAAGAACAATAACCATTCACACATTTAGAAATTCACACCGACCATCAGTGCTTTTATGCACACGCACTAAGGGCTGAGAATTTCCTCTGACTGCTACTACGAACATGATCCCTGGCTGTTCTCAAAAGAAACAAAATAATATAAAAAAGCAAAATAACTTCCCAACTCTTCAGTTCCCTGCCTACTATTTGTATATACCTGGACTCATTATTAACTTGAGCTCTTTAGTGACAGCCTTGCATTTGTCGTGTGTAATTTGAAACCACTTACTTTAACACATATTTGTTTAGAACTAAGCAAAACACTCACTGTCAATTTACTCTTGAGCAGTAGTGCAATTTATTATACTCTTAAGCTGAGCTGTTTTGAAGGACAATTTGCCTAAATCCAATACCATGACAACTAGCTTGATCTTTTGACAGTTAGCCCAGTTAATCAGGATTCAAACAACTTGCCCCATTTCCTTCATGATACGAATCTTACCAACAATCCCATATGCAGAGATACTCCTATGCAGTCCACGATTTGTTGTCTCATATGCTCTGTTCTTGTTCGGCATATTTCCTGCACTTATCATTGACAACAAATCCTTGATTTGCCTTTGAGTGTACTCCACCTAAGTTGAATAATAAAATCTTATATGAACTTATATTACAAGTAAGGTTAAACTAAACTTTCAAATCTCTAAAGCCACACTTCTCCAGTGACTACCATACATTTGGACCTATTTGAGAGCTAGTCTTCAAAGTAGTGGACATTCTTGAGGTCATGGGTGATTCTCCTACATATTGCACCAATGGGTCACCAAGTCTCCCATTTTCATATTTCATTTTCTCGACTTGCTTGCTGCTGCTGCTTATCTCATAAATTTTGAATAGGACTAGAGTCACTCAACTACAACAACAAAACACTACTACAGTTGATTGCTTGTTTTCACGCAATGATTTTAATTGTTCTGTCATTTATACATGGGGCAGAGATAAAAGCAAAGCTATGATTGGAGGAGTCACTGTACCGTAAAAGTGGCTTGAACACCTTCCAGAAAATGGAAGCTGAATTCTAATTGGCTAACTGTGGGAAAGAACTGTGGTTTGATTTTTAGCAGCCAAGTGTGGGGAGGAGCATAGCAAGATGACATTAATAATAGCTGCAGACCTTGCAGCAGACTGCTCTGATATAGAAAAGGTCAGGGTTTGAATTAGTGGCAAGCCTGCCAATTTTTTCAGGGATTCTTTTCTCAACTGTATCAGTTGCATCTCTAACTGTGCTGTTCTTCTTTGCATTTATTTCTCTGTTTCGCAGTTCCAATGTATGAAATATGAATTTGATATGTTCATCATTTCATTTCTGTTTTTGCTGTTTTCATCACTGGAAAGAGCTATCAAATATGAATCACAGAGGTTAGAAGTCACATTGTTTTAAAAAAAAGTCCTGCATTCCTGTCTTGTTGACCAACTCAACATTTTCTACTTTTTCGTGGACAGAACAACCAGTATCGATGGAAAGCAACAATAGTTTGGTAGTCTAAGGCCATATAAATTAAACATCAAGAGAGAATAATCTCTCTTGATCAATGTCTATTTCCCTGAATTTTCAAGCAAGAAACTCGTGAAAAATTAGGGCGGGATAGCGAGATAAAGAGGAAAAAAATAGGCAGGAAAGCAGGATTAGAGAACCCAATTGTAGATCCTCTTGGTATGTCTGCTAGCTAAGGGAACATGGGGGTAAGATTTCCATAGAGCCCCATACATTTATTATGCATCCACATTTCAACCCTATTCATATCAACTATTTGTGTGAAATAGTATGAAAGTGCTGAATCCATAATAAACAAATGGGGTTGTACAGAAATCGTACCCCTATGAGAATTGCTCCAAACTTGCCAGGTTTCTACATTGCTTCCTGGAGGAGCTTCACCTGATACAATAAAGAGACAAGCTGAAAGCAAACCTTATCATCGAAAAACACCAGCTCATAAGGTTCCGTTCTGTCTATCTTCAGCACACGGAAGCGAGTCTCTGCGTTGTTCGAACCGACAAGGAAAAACCTCTGTGGAAAGAGTAAAAAGCAAGTTCAACCACAGCCCAGGTTAAGAAGAAAAAATAAAAACTCCACAAGAAAAATTATAGTCACCGCTTTCGTTTCGTATAGCACAATTCGCTGCGTGCAGCAAATGGAATAGTGATCCGCCATCTTGAAATATGCGGAGCCACATACTTTCGCTCCCAGACCTAAAACGCGAGAGGAACAGGACACCCAACTATTGCTGACCAGTCAGTTTTTTCGGGTGGTTTATAGTCAGGAAAACTGCTGTGTAATTCAAGGTAATTTATTACCATTGTAAAAAAAAGGCTTGAGCCTGCTTCTAAAGTCAACATTATGAGTGAAAGCTGATGCTTTTTAGAGATTTTACAGTCGTCACTTTGCAAAGAAGGTCAAAAGAGGCGGGGGTGGGGGGGGTGGGGGGGTGGGGGGAGGGGAGAAAAACAAAAGAGATCTCCGACTGAAGAGTCCAAGCATTTTATTGCAAAGTTAAACGTCAACGTAAACTTCTTGAATATTTTTTTATAGAAATTTTTCATTTTGCGTTAAGTATATCAATCAGTTCAGTGGAAACTAAGTGGAAACCAGTCAAGAGAAAGTGTGAAACAGAACAACCGTCAGAATGATGGTTTTTTTTTTTCAACTGTACTAGTATTACAAACTGGCATGTGATCACGGCTCGTTATTTATCAGAAAGGGTGGCTTTCTTGTCTTATCTTATCTTTTCCGCTGTTAGAGGAACAATCGAAGCGGTAAACGTTGTTATCACTCACTTTTGGAGAACGGGTTAGCAGATCGCGCTTCATAAGAACTCGCTGACAACTGTTCTTGTCGTTCCTGCCTGTCTTTTCAAAATACTTACATTTTTTTAAAGTTTTTGGTTCTAGGCAATCTGATGTGCGCTCAGGAACCTTGATGACTACGTGTTGCGTGGTGAACGCGAACATTTTATATACGCTCACCAACCGCTCACGATCAATCAGTTTACAATCTGAGGTCAGGAAGATGTATGCTCATGCAATATTGATTACCGGGAGTCAATGTTCGCGTTCACCACGCAAAGCGTAGTCATCGAGGTTCTTGAGCGCACGTCAGATTGTTCAGAACCGAAAACTTTCAAACAATTTCCCACAAAAACTACATCGCAATACCCATGATGAGGGGAAGAGATAAGAAACTCACCTGGCATAAAGGGATTTGGCGCTATCATGGCAAATCAGTGCGCGGTTCTTTGAGGTGGGAGAGATTTGTCAGTTGACACTGCACACAGTAACCTGCTTTACTTCGCACTATGTAGGAAAACAATACCGAACAAACAACGAGCCGCAAAATCGTATGAAATGGCCATGAGTTGAGCCCAGGTTACACAGAAAAAGTGAAAACAAACCCAAGTTTACGCAAGTGGAATTCATATCCACTCTTACGCCTATATTTCTACGTTTTAACAATTATATTAAATTTTTCATACTAAGTGTATAAAGGACAAGGGCGCACGTCCCTCCCAGAAGTTACCTATTACCCCAGATCGTTTGCTGCGTATTCACCCTGTGCTTAACTTGCGTTCTAGATTTGATGCCTCGTTCTGGGGTTTGTCCAGTTTCCCTTTCTGGCATGTTACGTAAAGGTCAGCTTCTTCCCAGCACGCCTGGGGCTCTTGATTCTTTTCAAGACCTTGTGTGCTCAGAGTTTCAATCTCCCTCCACCCTGGGGTTCTTGGTTACTATTCGCTGGAGTAAAACCGTTCAGTTCAGGGAAAGGGTTGTCCATCTTCGCATCCCCCTCATCACTTGGTCCCCCCTTTGTCCTGCTACAGCAATTACCCGGGCTCTGTCCTTTACTTCACAGGCATCTCCGGGCTCACAAGCCTTTTCGTTTCTCAGTTCACCAGATCTGCATCTAAAAATTTTTACCCACCCTATGTTTTTATGGAAACTTCGCTTTGTTCTTCGTTCCCTGGGCCTGCCAGCGGGAGCCTCAGATTATGCATGCCACTCTTTCCGTAGGGGTGGGGCTTCGTTTGCTTTTCAAGCAGGGATTCCGCTGAAACTCATCAAGATACTTGGCGAGTGGTATTTGGACGCCGTTCTCCTTTATCTTACGGTTCCACTCACTATCAGACTTCAATCAGTTGATCTCTTTGCTAAGGCTATTATTTCACACCACACCACTTAACTCCAATTTGGGTTTGGAGTGTTAGATTTCCTTTTGATTTTGATTTTGATTTTGCATTAGGTAAAGTTTTTACAGTTATTAATAAAGGCTGTCTTAATCCCAATCCTCTGTGTTGGTTGTATGTTTTAGCGATGACATCTTGTCACAAGGAGCGCCATTTGACAATCAACTGCAGAACCATTTTCAGTAGACAACCTTCCCAATAAAGTTCACTGCTTATTAACTGGGCTGCTAGTGGCTAGCCCAGTTTAAAGAATATGTTTCATTTTCTTCTCGGAGGGGGCGGGTATTTCTGGGAACTCGTAGTAGGGGTGTGCCGTCCGGCTCTCCTAATCTTGACACTATTTTAGAGCAACATCTATAAGGTTATTGTAATGGAGTGCCCTCCCCCCCCCCGGGGGGATTAATGACCTCAAAATGAACAGTATCAATTATTAACTTAGTAACGATAAAACATGTTAAGCGAAGGCAGCAATTAATGAAGATGTGTTTGAAGCTGGCGTACTGCTCTTTTTCATTGTCTCCTTCAAAAGATGCTACGATGAGTACCTTTTGAGATTGTTCTTCACTTTTGTTGAAGTTTAAACCTTTTGATGAGTTTTTTCTTTCCAAAACGTGATCATGATTGCAAATCTCTTTGTGTTTGTGGCTAGAGTGTGGGTGTGTGTGTACATCCATTGAATAAAATGAATAAAAACCTCTCTCAAGCTATCATTGGCACTTTTTTTCAGTGCCCCCTCCAAAAGAGGGTAGGATGGGTCGCTTTTGAGGTTTCTCCTTTTAAAAAGTCATGCATCAAAATAGATTAAAAACAAACATGGGGCGGCACTTCTCTTTCTATATGGAACCTGTAGTATAGGTGTGAAGCACAATAGGCCTTTTTATCGATACGGCGGCCATATTGAATACGTTAGATTTAAGGAGTATTATGGGATGCCCAAGGGGCATGAGCACATTCCGTTTAGTATTTACGAGCGCCTTTCGGGGCAGTTTTAAGACTGCGATCGAAAGATCGTTGAGGGGATAGAAAACTCCGTCCAAAGCCAAGGGTTACGCTGTAACTCTTGCTCAAGGACGTTAGGTAAGCAATTCGCTCTAAACCCTGTCTCCCTGTCTCTCCTTTTCAAATGCTTGCACAGGCTAACCAGCATTAAAAAACTTACATTAGCACACGCAACTAAGAAAATATTGTAAAGTAATTGAGGAAATGCTATCCAGGCAGGGCGGCCTTGTGGAGTGGTAGATGAGGTAGCGCGATTTTCAAGTCTGCAAACCTCTCCTTGAGTGTGAAGACTTAAGGCATGAGTTTCAGTTTCTAGTATCGAACATATACAATGAAGGCAACCTGGGGTCTAGAACGCTGACCTGTTCCTCTCTCATTCCTTTACCAAAGGATACGTCAAAGTATATCAGGCAATTTCCTCCTTACAGCATGCTCGGCTACTCAAACAAACTTTAAAATCTTACACTAAGATGATATACCGCAGATACAGCACGTTAGAAAGTTGGAATCAAACGTGTTTACTAATGGGTTAGGCACTGACGTCTTAAAATTCACGTTAAAAGGACACTGTTTAGGCAAAAGCATTAAGTTTACTTTTCCAGTAAATTCCGTCTTGCGGCCTTAGACAACGGACCACGGGCCCGTTCGTCCAAAGTCCCTATAACTTTTCGGGCCCGAAATCAAATATTCAAACCGAAGTAAAAGGAATAAGAGGAGCGCGGGTCCCGGCTAGCAAAATACTTCATTTTTTTCATCAAATGATAGTTTTATCATGTTAGATGCAAAACTATTGAAATTTCTATCTTGCATGTAAACAACAACAGTTTTAGGAGCCCGTTAATTATCGGGACTTTCGAGAATTGAACGGACCCAGAAGCAGATGCAGCCTCAATGTCCGTTTCATTGATGACTGCCAGAGAAAGTTATGGTCGGAGACTTTCTTTTCAAGAGTTCTGATCATGAATTTCTGACGAGCCACCAAGTTTCAGTCTCAAGACCGGTACTAAAGTGCACACTCAGAAAAGGCAAAATGACAGAGAGTAAACTGGAAGCGTTAGGCGATAGTTGACAGGAGAACCCAACGGCAGTTTCCTCCTAATTACATTGAAAATCTTTTTAGGTTATCTAAATTACTAGGTTCTTTGCGGCGCCATATAATTATAACAACTGTTCGGTCATCCACAGGGCAACTTGAGTAGTCTTTTCGATCGAAATTACAAGGACTTCAATATTATTTTTTTCGAGAAATTTGAAATTTTTTCTTATTCCTTCTCTGTTACAATTTCGTATCCGAAAATTGTAATTTCCTTTATATGGAGAAAACCTGTCTCGTGTAGGAGAGCAACCCTCCCAGAAAAAAAAAACCTTGACCCCAACCGGTCTTCGCGCATGCTCTAATTGTCTCGCCTTGGCTATGCGAGCCCTTTACCGATACGGATCGGATTTGATCTAGACGGTCGGACCGAAATGTCCCCTTCCATTTGACAAAATTGTTTTCCCCAGGACCACTGATCTGTATCCTGCTTACAAGCACGATAAGCAAACTCGCGGTGGCTTTGGTTTGGTTTGATCTTTGCAACTGGAATGTACCTTCCACTGGGTACGTGGTTTTTCCGAAATTTCAAACAGGAATTTTTGTTGAATGGAAAGCGCGTAGAGTGCCTACGGAGAAACGTTGGCCCGGCTAGGCCATTACCAAAGGGTGACTGGACAAGGTGAGTCACCCTTCTAGCCGAGCCAACTTTTTGTAATTTAAACGGTTCGCCATGTTTTGTAAAGAAATGCGTGAAACGTTGCCTCTTTCAGGGAAGCTCGGGTAGGCGGGTGACCCATCTACTCGAGACAAATTTTCTTCATATAAGCGAGGCCCAAATTTTAGTTCTCTAGTTCTTTTTCTTCTGTAGTCCAGCTGACGCACATTTTTTTTTTTGGTTCTACAATGTGGAAAACTGGAATTAAAAAATACAGTTGAACC